ACTATGAATTTGATGAAAAGGAGTTGGTTCTTTTATGGATGGCTGAGGGCTTGTTACAGCAACAGTCACATGGAAAGAAGCAAATGGAAGAGGAAATAGGTCATCAATATTTCCAAGAGTTGTTATCAAGATCCCTCTTTCAACAATCAAGTGGAGTTGAATTGCGATTTGTGATGCACGACCTCATACATGATTTAGCTGTAAATGTTGTTGGAGAAATATATTGCAATCTTGAACGTAGCATGGGTGATGAAAAATTAGAGAAGGCTCGTCATTTGTCATTCACTCCACACCTTTATGAAATCTCAAAAAGATTCATAGTCTTGGATAAATTGAAGCCTTTGAGAACATTTTTGCCACTGAGAGTGCATAGTTATAGCCCTAATTCCTATTTATCTAATAGAGTCTTGCATGATTTCTTGCCAACTTTAAATCGCTTAAGAGTGTTATCTCTTTGCGGATATCAAATAAGCAAGCTACTTGATTCTTTTGAAACTTTGAAACATATTCGGTACATTGATTTGTCTGGTACACAAATCGAATTTATACCTGAATCAGTGGGTTCTCTTCTCTTCTTACAAACATTGCTGTTTTGTGGTTGTAGAAAGCTTACTAAGTTGCCTACAACGATTGGGAATCTAATTGATCTCCATCATCTTGATATTTCTGATACTTCATATTTACAAGAAATGCCATCAGGAATAGGCAATCTTAAAAATCTTGTAACACTGCCCAAACTTATCGTGGGGAAGGCAAGTGGATTGATGAGATTATCTGATTTAAAGAACTTGTTGCAAGTTCGAGGAAGATTGTCTATTCTAGATCTGCAGAATGTCTTGGAGATTCAAGATGCTAGGGAGGCCAATCTAGACAAGATCCATGGTTTGGAAGAGTTAGTCTTGGGGTGGGCTGCTCCTGACAATGATCGAGATGAATCAATCCTCCAAAAGCAAGTCCTCAGCTGGTTAAAACCTCATTCAAATTTGAAAAGTCTCAAAATTTCTTGCTATGGTGGTAAGAGATACCCAAACTGGATTTGTGATCCATTATTATTTTTGAATTTATCATCCATGGAGCTCAGCAATTGTAAGAGATGCATTTTGTTACCATCACTTGGCCTACTACCCATTCTCAGAAAATTGATTATTGAAGGCATGAAGGCAATAGAAGCTGTGGGTCCTGAGTTTTATGGGCAGCATGAATCTTTTCGATCATTGGAGGAACTGGTGTTTCAAAACATGTCAAATTGGAAGGAATGGACTTCTCCAACTAGAAGTGAAGGTGAATTCCCTTGTCTTCGTAGGCTTGTGATTCAAAACTGTCCTAAGTTGTTAGGCCAATTACCCAGCAACCTTTCTTCACTTAAAGAGTTGGATGTTAGAAGGTGCAATGCAATGTTATTAAAGAGTATGGGTAATCTCACCTCGCTTGCTAATTTGAGAATTGAGAAAATTTCAGAACTGACTTGCTTGCCTATGAGTATGAGTCTTCCATCGTTAAAAGAGTTGTATATTGAAAACTGCAACAGGGTGCTTTTGAAGAGCATGGTTGATCTCACTTCTCTCACTAACTTGAGAATACAGCGCGTTGTAGAACTGCCTTCCTTGCCTGAGAGTTTTACACAGTTCTTGACAACACTTGAGACTTTGTATATTGGAGATTGTGATGATCTTACTTGTTTGTGGGAGGAAGGGCCAGAAGTAGAACAAAGCCTTTTGCCTTTCAATCTTAAACATCTTAGCCTTAAGCAATGTAAAGCTTTGGAGTCATTACCTACTGCAATGATGGTGCAAATGGATGGAAGCAGTAGCAGCAACACTGGTATGTTGATGTTGAGACTTGAAAAGTTCGAAATTTATGGTTGTGATTCTCTCAAGTCTTTTCCAAGAGGCAGATTACCCGTCACGCTTAAATACTTGAAAATAGAAGACTGTAAAGGTCTAGAGTCTTTACCGGATGTGGATGGTGACAATAATAGCAATCTACATTTGGAAATAAGGAATGTTCCATGTTTGTATTCTTCCAAGGGTTGTCATCGGCTACTAACTTTTCTCAAGAAATTTACAGTTAATGATGGTGGCGAGTGGTTGGAATCATTTCCAGAAAGGATAGTGCAATATTGTACGGGACTCCAATCCATTAAAATTGACAGTTGTAAAATGTTGAAAAGTTTACCCAACCTTGACTTCATCAGCAATCTCGTTGAATTATATATTTACAGTTGTGAAGTTTTAGAGTCCTTACCAGAAGAGTTGGGGTTATACACCCCCAATCTCAAGGATTTGAGAATACGACGATGTGAGAATTTTAGATCTGTCCCACAAACAATGTACCAATTGAAATCTCTTCGAAGGTTAGGGATGAAAGACTGCCCTAGCATCGAGTTCATTCCAGATGGGGGTTTGCCCCCAAACTTGAAAGATCTTCACTTACAGCGATGTGTGAATCTCAAGTCTGTGCCAAAGACAATGTACCAGCTCACATTGCTTCAAAGTTTAAGAATCTCAGGTGGGGCTTTAACAATGAGCCTCCAAAACCTTATGTCTCTTCGATGGTTAAAATTTGAGCAAAAATTCCCTCTGGATGTTATGTTGCCTTCTTCTCTGACCTCTCTTTGGATCTGGAATGAAGAAAATTTGAAAGCCATACCTGGGAGGCTCTTCCAAAACCTAAGCTCCCTTAAAGTGTTACATATAATCAACTGCCCAAAGCTACAATCTTTGCCAAGGGAAGCCTTCCCTCCCTCGCTTGGAGAACTACGCATCAGAAGGTGTCCGCATCTAAAACGACAGCGCTTTGAGGTGAAAGGAGACTATTGGACTATCATCTGGAGCATCCCCTACGTTCAGATAGATTAGAAAGAGGTAATATAAGCTTAGAGTGAACTGAAATAGACATCACCATTTTATGCTTTTCATATGAGAATTTAGAAAATTTATAATAGATAATACTTTGACTTTTTTTGCCTTTTCTTATATGTGTTGCAAATCCTTTTTGCAGGGTTTATTTTTCCCCAATTGTTGAGGTAAACAAAGCCAAGCCACTCTTGAGTGTTACAAAATGATAGATTAGAAAGAAGTAATATGTGCTTGTATCCCTTTTGCAAATCCTATTCTTAGGCTTTCAAATTATTTTGAAAGGGATGAGTGGTTGGCCTTGGCATTATGGAAATTCACAACCACCAAGAAGCTTGCTGCTTGTAAAATGATGCTCTTAGGCAAGCCAACCAATTTCAATTTTAAATTCAATTACAACAGGAGCTTATGTTTTCCATTCCGAAGAATTGGGAAGGACTTTTGAAACAAGGAGTTGTTGATGTTCAAATGAGATATTTCTGTAAGCTGGAACTGGAATGCGGATCATCTCTGCTAAATTAAGCAAGCTTCTAATCTGACTAAATCAAGCTGCAGTTCTACTAGTTTTTTATTTGGGAAAGCTGAACTTACCCCGTAAGTACCCAAACTACCTCTTTAAAATTTTGTTGTGATGCCTATTTGGTTTGCTATTTTAATTGTTTAGGACAAGAAATCAAAACTGCTATATCAGGCTATCTCTATAGTATCCAAACTACCTCTTTAAAATTTTATTGTGATGCTTATTTCTAATTTCCCATCCTTTTTTTCATGTTCCCAGTTGCTTGTGTAGAGGACATAGAAAAATCTTGCTAGGCCTATATAGGACCCCTTTGTTTTGTGATTCCCTTTTTCCTTTTATGTGCCAGAAGTTATGAGCATACTCTCAATTGTCGTTTAATAATTTCATTTGCTGATGAACAAAAAAATACTGTCATGTGCTTGCTCATTTCGATTCTAATTGATTTTTGTTGTCTTGTATTTGTTTTACCAACTATTTGTATGAGCTTTTTTCTTATCATAACTTTGATTCCAATGCATGGAGATCAGGTAGGTATCAAGAAGTTAGTCTCCCACATGAGTTCCCTTACTTGCCTCCATTCCCATCTTCTTATTCATCTCACATTTCCCATCATTTGTGATTGCTTCTTTACTACTATTTAACGTCCAACTTAGTTCATGTTTTAAATCTCATAGCATCTAAGTAAACCCTTTACCTTTTTTGAGTCAATTACAGGATTAATTAAAAGGTTGATCGAAGATTCCAAGTTCAATCCTCCCCTTTCATGTGGGAGATGATGCTTCCACTATGATGAGTCAGAAATGAATGATCCAATTATGTGTACTGTGTTCTCTCTTTATTCATCCTAAGTCACATCCAAGATTGCAGCACAAGCACTGTTGCTTTATTCGCTACTTTACTTAACAATGGGCTGACTTGCAAAGTAGCTTCAAGATCTAACAACTTGATGAAAAATGGTGGTGTTCACAAATCTGTCATAGTTGTTGGCTTGCAGCTATAGTCTTCTACCCTCCAAAGAAACACCTCTTTGATAAGGCAGGGTTCACTTTCTCATCTCTCAGTCGTTCAGAGTGATTCTCTATCATTTCATCAAGATAATGCTAAATTTAACTCATTTTTTCAGGTTATGGATTTTCTTTGAGTTTCTCTAGTAACTTCCCTTGATCAATTCCCTAAATTAAGGACAATTCGAGGATATATATAAAGGTGGATGGAGTAAAGCTTTGAGGCAGCATTATGCACAAATCATTTCAAGGTGCATTGTCACATTTTAATCCTTTAATGTGCCCAAATTTTAAAATTTTAAATCAAGTTGTTAGTTGTAGGAAAACTTATTATTAGGCTAATTTATGCCATACTCAAATGTGTTAACCAACCATTTTAGTTTCTCATTTCTTCAGGATTCTTTTGTTGTATGTATCCATCCATCTGGTGTTAAGAAAACTCTTCATGAACGCATACATGAGCTGCATGGAGCTTGGACTTTGAATGTAATAAGTCAGTGGAGCTTTGAATAATAGCTGGTGGCTGGTTTTGATCAACATTGCAAAAACAATGCAAAGACTGTGTGAGTGAGTTGCAACAGCAGCAGGAAGGTTAGTAGAGGAGTTATGGTTCTGCTCGATGATCAACAGTGATTTGATCTCCCTCTTGGTACACACTCAGCATACTTAAATGAGATTCCCAATTTGATTGGAGATTTTGACTTCTAGCTTTATTTTGGTGATGATTAATACATTAGTGATCCAACAATTTTATTCTTGATGATTTATTGTTGTATACCACCTCTAGTGTCTCCTAGAGTAGAGGAAACTTTGTAATAATGCTATTTTTATAGTGAATGTTTTTTACTGGACTAGATTCCGTGGTTTTTTCCCAAAAGGAATTTTCATATTAAAAAATCTAATGTCTTAATTTTGTGGATGTGATAATTTTTATTTTTGTTAGTTGCTTGATCTATTTTTGGGTTTGATTATTTTCCATTTAATTGCACATAGAGAAAAGAATACCAGTTGAATGTGTTATGTACGCAGATTGGTTTTTGATCCATGAATCCCCAAAAGCTAAAAAAGCTCGCTTTTATCTTTGTGATCCCTATTTAAATTCAAGTTATTAGCTGTGCTGGATGGACCCTTTGGTGGTAGACTATGATTGAACTTGAGTACACCTTCCACCCAAACAAAGTTTTAGGATTTTATTCATATACATATTTTTGAATTCAACTGAGTAAAACATATGATTGTTGTTCTTAAACAAAGAAATGTAAATGATTTATATCCTGAAAAAGTAAGTTACGAAGGGAATGATCCCCAATATTCTATGGCTATGTATAGTTTTATATATAAGAAATGAAACATCAACGTCATTAGTACATTTACTTCAATTGACTACTGAACAATACTCTGGAGCTGGAAAGGTCAGGGATAGTATCTGATACCAATCTAGAACAGCCAGGCTGAATGATCTTTTATTTTTGATCCTTACAGCCACGCCTGTTGTACACGCATCCGGCTGAACCCATGTGAACCATCACCCTCTTGAAGTCCACAAGTCAATCATCTGAGCAAATCATTTCAAAAAGTTGGTTTACACATTATAATGTTCTAGCTTTCTTATCTTAGCATTGATCTTTCCTGTGGTTGCACAACAGCACCGCACATCACCTGCAAAAGTCAGCATAAGAATATCAGTTGAAAAGCTAACTGTTAGTAACAGCCCTAAGAATGAGCTACCTTGTAATCAGTCTTTGCTGTGTACTTATACAACAAGTGACATCTATTATTTGAATTTGAGAATGTTTTTTTTGTTTTTTTTTTTTTCCTGCCCAAGGAAAATATGTAAAATGAAGCATTTGAATGACAAGTTAAACCTTGGGACTGTAGTCTTGGGATTCTTGAAATGCCATGACATCCAAATCTTTGACAAGGTTTAAAACAATCTTTTGTTCTAAAGCAAGTCTCTATATAAATGTACTAAAATGGAAATCAAGGGCCCAAAGCCATTAAGTTCACATGCAAATTCCGATTACTGGTCTTCCAATTTAGAGACAGTTACTACCGTATCCACAAAGACATGAATGCAAGAAAGGTAAATAAATTAGCTCGGATATGACATCTAGTTTAAATTGAAAAGATGCAGAGATTGAGCAGATATAGAAGAACATATAAAGAAATCTCACCATATTGCTCCCACTTATTGAAATTCACCAACCATGTGCTTGGACCAATCTGCGTAGATAATACACGATCCACCCAAACCCGAAACTTTTTCCCCTGCTTGTCTCCATACCACCCTTTCAATTCATGTATGCATTCATGTAGAGTTTTCTCAACACCAGATGGATGGACAGTTACAGCAGATGAATCCTGAAGAAAGAAAGAATTAAAACGGTCGTCCTTTTTGGACATAGATCATAAACTATTCCAACAAGAAATGAAAAGTGGAAACAGCATTTCTTAATAGATTCATTACATAAAAAAAAATCAATAAAAGTTGATGCCAAATGTCAATAGGTTCCAATCAAAGTAGATCTAAAATGTAACTTAGTCTTAGTACTGGTTCTAGGTACAGCTACATAAAGTACATTTTGGTCAAGCATTTAAGCTAAAAGTTTTCTTCAGTTTATTATTTTAGGATAAATTTGCTTTCCTAATGCTCCCAATAAAAGCTAGCTATATACTTCTATCTATACCTATACTCAAGTTAAACCATCAGCCAACACTCCAAACTAGCAGGGACTCTTTAATTCCACCTGGGCATGATGATATATGTAGCAGCAGAGTAGGGATACATTCTCAACATCATGATGATCAACCTGCAGATAGAGCACCATGTCCAATTCAAGTAACTAATAGCAACACGAGCACGACATCACTCCAGAGTGAAGCGAGAATTTATGAAACCTACCATTGTATGATCAAGATCAGAAACTATTATGGGACGTGCAGAAGCACTGAGCCAATCCATGACCACTCTACTGCAACCTTTAACCCTACAACCAAATTAATAACTACCACAATTAGACGCCTCTATGTGAATTTAAGTTATGAATTCTACAAAATGGGACAAGTTTGAAATCACAACACAAGTAAAACCCCATGGAACCATAGAAATCGAAAGCATTTACAAGATTCTATATATTCTTATGGTTAAAATTTAAGGTGTGAATTCTACAAAATGCTAGAAATCTTAGAAACGAATTTCAAAACCAAACACGAACATGCAGAACGAATCGAATCATCAGGATCGGAACAAGAACACAAATACAACATTCAGAAAATAGGAAAATCGATTCAAAGCTTCAGAAAATCACCTGTCATCGGATTGATGTAAGGATTACAGTTCAGGGATTCCAGTGATACAGCAGGAACAAGAAATTAATAGAATAGGTAAAGTGCATTGAATCCCTAAAATTGGAAACAAAAAATTCAGCGAACGGGAAAGCTTTACCTGCCTGGAACTAGAGGCGATCCATTCAAAGCTTTCAAAAATCAGCTGCGATGGAAAGAATTGAAGTATGAATTTAGCCAAAAGAGCAATGCTAGGGGCAATCGCCCTTCAACACTCGCTCCATAAAACCAAAAAACGAATACAAACAGCAATTAACGTTTCTCTCTCATCTCCTTCTCTCTTCCCCTTTACCCATAGCATGGGTTCCTTCTTCACCTCACTTTCACAATCCTACCCAACATTACAGAGGCAATCAAGAATTAAAGATGATGGGAAAGATCAGAGAGGGGTCAAGTTCTCTGAATTTTGATTGGTTTCCCTTTTTCTTTTTTTGCTTAAAGAAATCTTGTGTTTTTGCCTTGAAAATCAGGGACAAGTTCTGGATTTTCCATTCACGATCTCAAAGGAAGAGATGGGGACTGGAGGAGGGGAGCAGATTCGATTTTAGGATATTCTTTTGAAAAAACCCTTTAAATCCATCTTAAAACTATAAAGGGAAAAAGTTCTTAAGTCACCAGATGAAATCAGTTTCCGTTTTAGGGATCTGATATTGGGCAAAAGGTGCAGATCACCCCCTCAACTCAACAACTGGTGGCAAATCACCCCCTCAACTCACTTCATGCGCAAATCACCCCCTCAACTCCCCTGCAGTGGCAAATCAGCCCCTCTGTTAAGGCTTCCGTTAACATTTAACAGTTCGTTCATAAGCCCTTCCTCTGTGTCTGACGTGGCCTTTTTGTTGTTGAGATGGATGCTGAGGTGGAGGCACACCTGGACAAATACCTCAAAATCAGCAGATCAAACAAAATTACTTTTATACCCTTAAATGGTTTAGCGAAATAAAATTGGAGATTTAGGGATCTGAGGCAATATTATTTCACTTGACAGTTTCTATCGTCTTCGTCTTCTTCCCCTTTTCGTCCTTTTAAGATCTGCAATTCATTGAGAGGGGTTCTTTGTCAAGCTTTGAATCTTCTGTGAAATTACCATATTTTAAGGATTTAACTTCAATTCAACTAAAAAGGAGAGAGAGATCAACAGAATGAAGGAGCAACATTGCTAGCAGCTATTAAGGATTGAAACCCAAAAGAGTTTTAGTCGATCAGGGTACAGTGACTGCTTCAGTTTCAATCAGTTGGCAATTCAAAGTGCAGTTTTATTAAGCAACCAAACTTGACCTTGCTTAGCCTCTGAAAAATAACAGTAGAAAAGGTCCTTCAACCTTAAAGTAAATTACCTGGCGGTGAACCATACGGCAAACTGAACGTTCCAAATCTGAAAATACCTGCACTCAATTGACAATTATAAGTGCATTATAAAATGAAGCTCCTTTCACAGAACTGAATGATTCCAATATCGTAGCTTTAGCCTAGGATAGAAAAGTTTGAAAGAGTAGGAAAGCTGGTACTTTCCATGCCATACAATCTATCTGAATCTAAAATGCAGGAAAATAGAGCTTCTCCAGGACCGTGCAGATTCACAACACCATTCCTAAATATGTCCCTAGCTATAGCTTTTCAATTAAATATACCAAAAACAAAGGACCAAAAAATGATGCAGCTTCATACCTTAGCCAATGATACAATAAAGTGGAACGAGTACAATAAAGTTTAACAGTTGCAAAAATAATGCAACAAAATTGTATAATGGGCAGGACAGATGCTACACTGGTTGTGATGCAGCCAATGATACTTCTCCATGGGAATAGAGATAAAGATATGCTGTCATGCTAGTTGGGATAATAATGGTCATCCAAATGCTACGCTGCATATAAAAGATAGAAATGGATTAGAAATTTTACTACATTTGAGTGGATATTCTCATATTCACATAAAAATCATCAAAAAAAACAAAAAACAGAGTCCAAGACCTGAGGAAAATGGTAAAAAATAAAGTCAAATTTACTACACAATAATTAGAAATAAAATTATTGACAAAGTTCAAGTTGCTGCTGCAGCTTCCAAAAAAAGTCCAATTGACAATGGGTGCATTTTGCATGAGTACCTTCCATATATCTTTGTGAGTAAGATGATTTTGATCAAGATCAAAAATTTTTGCATAATTAACACTGCCCTGTGAGAAAACCCATAAGCTCACTCCCCAGTGCTAAACCATCATTGTCTGCAACAACACAACTAACAAATAAGAGTCCATATGCATTTGGTAATAAAGAGTAATAAAAGCGCCCAAAGAGATAATTGTCTACTGACCACAAGAAGAAGGGGAAGGCCTCATATAAGAACAAATCCTGTAAGTCTGCACCCATTCTCATGACTGAATCCCATCCAATCTATTCAAAAAAAGAATTACCAAATTTAAAATGACAAAGTGATCAAGAATACTGGAGAGTTAAAATGTGAGAAACAAAGTTAAATTGACCTTGCAACAAATAAAGCCCCACAGCAAAAACAATATAACCTGAAATCCAATCAAATTGAAAAAATTTATTAAAAAAGAGTTCATAAATTAAAGTTTATTCAGGGTGAGTATGAAAAATTTAAAGGCCAAGCTTACAATACAATAAGTATGTTACATGAGGAGTAAGGACCAAACAAACACTAAAATATCAGACCTTAAACCTCCATAGCAAGATGGGAGAAGGCAATATAACTGCACTCGGCAGTGGTAAACATGCACCCTTCATTTCACCCAGCACCAACGGAAACACATAACCTTCTTGGACACTATTTGCAGGATCACTTGTACTTGAAAAAAAATTAAATTAAATTAAATGGATCATACAAGATGTAAAAGAAAATAGGAAAACATATATTAATGAAAAAAAAGAAGCAAAAACTTTTGATGGATGTCATGATGGATAAATAACAATAGGAACTGTTCATGGGGGTGACCTAGTGCATTTGATTAAAGCATCAGTGGCAATGCTTCTTGTTTAAAAGTGGAACTTCCATTCCTAATTTTCAAGAATAATGCAGTTAAATTGATGCATGTTCTCAAATGCATGAGTTGTGGTCAACTTTCTACAAGTCTTGAACGAGTTCACACTTTTCAGAAGAATGAAATAGCAGTCTTAAATCATTATTTTATTCAGTTCCAATGCCACAGACTCAAAATATACATTGCATAAATACAGCAAAGTAAAGATGCAAACTAATCACGGTGAGTTGGTTACTGTCACGAAAAGTTTAGTTCACCTAGGTCCGAGACAACAGCTCTGTTGCCAAGCTTGCGAAGATGAGGACTATGAGATGCTCCAGGACTTTCAAACATGGGGAATGTCCTAAATAGTCTAACTAGTATTGGTCACATCCTGCAAACATAAATTAGAAAACTCATCAAAAGACAGCAGAAAGCATCAATTCTCAAAACAACAAATTGAATTCTTCTAAATTCAAATTAAAATTTACAGCAACAGATAGATGTAACAAATAATAACATAAGGCAGAATTGGTATGATTCGCGATTTTGCAATCTCCTATAATAATCATCTATAAAGACATTTCAAGAGTGTTTCTATGCCATGCATGAAAATTTTACTACAAACAAATCGCAGATCAGGAAATGAATATCAGAGAAAAACGAATTGACATTAGAAACAAAATATTTAACCATTTATAGAAAGAATCGCAACAACTTTGTTACCAGAAATCAAAAGATCCATAAAAACTGAATAGAATGCAGAGAGATGATGGCTAAACCGTGCGATTGAATGCGAGAAGGTGAGTTCAGATCGGGAAAAAGAGAATTGACGAGAAAGGAAATTCGCGGCGGATTACCAGCCAGAGAAAACAACGAGGGCTGAGCATCTGCTGAAGTTTCTTCGTCTGAGTTTGGCAGACCTTTGGAGGTTTTAACGGGAAGAGAGAAGAAAGTGATGCTTGCATTCCGATGCTGATTTTGACGTATTTGTCCAGGTGTGCCTCCACCTCAGCAAAAAAAGACCACGTCAGACACAGAGGAAGGGCTTGTGAGCGGACTGTTAAATTTAACGGAAGCCTTAACAGAGGGGCTGATTTGCCAGTGCAGGTGAGTTGAGGGGGTGATTTGCGCATGAAATGAGCTGAGGGGGTGATTTGCCACCAGTTGTTGGGTTGAGGGGGTGATCTGCACCTTTTGCCCTGATCTTGGTGCTACATAGCAACACGGTGGGGATAGTGACGGAGCGGGTGGCGAAGGGCAACTGTCCTTAGCATTGCTTTAGCCGAGCCAAAATTTTAGACAACCGTTTGGTTTCATCCCTTCCCCCCATGAGTGCCACATCATCAGTTAATGCCACGACATATCCTACGTGACTATTTATTTTGTTAAAGTTACGAGTTGAATAACCAAAATGTTGATTTTGATAAAGTTGGATGACTACCCATGAAATTCACCCGTTAATGAACCATGAACGTTTCTGGAAAAATCTAATTTATAGAATGGAATAAGAATCTGGCCGAAAATGTATCTAGTGGGATAAGAAAGTGTTTATTCTAAAACGAGGGAAAAAAACAAAAATAAAAATAAAATCAATTCTAATATTTGGTTGTAGTAGAGATTTGAACTTTTATTATCAATCCTAATAATAAGATTTTTAATATTATAAAATTATAAATTCTTTAAAATGTTTATAGGAAAGTGTCACCTTTACCAAAATTGAAGAAGATGCAATTTTTCCTAATTAACATGCATGTTGAAAATAACCCTGTTTCAATTCAACTAATTAGAGCTTAGTGTTTCTTTAAAAAATTACATCTCTTTTAATTTTAATGTAGATGATAATTTATCTAAACTTTAAAACATTCTAAAAAATTTATGATTTTATAATAACAAAAATCTTATTATTAAGATTGATAATAAGAATTTAAATTTCTATAACAACTACATAATACTAATAATTTAGTTGATAGAAAAATCATCTTTTGA